ACCACTTGTAAGAATGCGTGACAAAAGCAAAACAATTGATTGTGATTGATTGATTTTGAAAAAGCAGAAGGAGTAATGATCTTGTTTAAATTAAATTAAAAAAAACACATTCCTACAGTTTAATGTTTCAAGTTCATAAAGATACTGTTGCCACTAAAGTATACGTTTATACTACAGTTTGCAACGTCGCTTTTAGGTAGTTCTACTGTAGATACTGAAAATAAATCTAATTATACATATATGTAGGTATTATAGCAACGTGAGCGCGGTTGCTGTGACTGGCTGAAGCCCGTATTCATCACTGTAAACAGTACAGTGTGCCGTACTTGTAACTGGACTCTAATTCATGGCATGTCACCAGAGATTTACAGCACAATGTGTTTGAAGTGAAAGGCACTTTTTAAAACAAGACTTCAGACTTTACTAGGAGGGGTAACAACCGTAACCACCCATTAAAGGTATAAATTGTGTTCCTTTGCAGGGAATTTTATATGTTAAATACTTCAAAGTCTGTATCAAATAGCACTTCCATTTGTCTTGCCGATAAGTTGGGGAGTTGCGTGAGTAAGCAAATGGATATAGTATTTCGATTTTAATTTTACTTATCCGGTCTTTTGTTTCTTTTCATATGTCACACGAATACACGGGCGTTTTCTATTTTAACCTCTGGAGCAATTAGTGTCTTGGATTGACAAGTCTGACATGTATAATTACAAAATGAACAGTGGTTGTAAATTTCGTACAGTTAAGTTTCCAAACCAAAATAATAAAAATAACTTTTATTTCTCTCATAAGGTGCAATAGGTTACAGAGCATCATAATTACATGTATTAAAATAAAATAATATAAAGTTCCTTAGTGAGAGTTGGAGTCTATACTAGGCTCGAAACCTGTACGACAGATCTCCAGGCCAAACCTACGGTCGAAAAAAAATCTAAGGTTTTTATATTAATGTTAGTAATAATTGATATCTAGATCCGAGATAAGTAAAGCGGTTCAATAAAAGATTTATTGAAAACTGTCAACTTTAGATATTTTTAGGAGTAACTAAATTGCTGTTTTCTAGACTCATCTCTTTTATTTGTTAGTTGTGTAATTTTTTTGTTGCTGGTGTTCTGGTAGTTGATGTGTTCTCTTTTATTTTACTTCTTCGCTTTAAAATGATGTTTACGAAGATGGTTTATAAATTACATACAGATTAATCAAAAAAATAAAAAATCTTTTGGGTATTGAACTTGGCTTGTTGAATATTTGCAAACAAGTTTAATAAATGGGTATTACTTTCTAGTTTTCCCACTTACCGACCTATATTTATAAAGCTTATTTTCCGTATAGGAGAGCTTCATTTTTATTCAAACGTCAAATCAATCTTCTATCTCCTTTTACCGTCTGACAAAATAATACTGCTACTGAGATATACCTGAACAGATACATACTCTATCTACGTCACGACGAGTTGCGGGTAAACAAATAAAAAAAAGATTCTGACGAACTGAGAACCTCCTCCTTTTTTTAAAGTCGGTTAAAAATCAAGTATAACACAATAGTCAACTGTATAAAATATCCTCAACTGGAACGGCTATTCGCTTTAAATTTTTTTAAGTTGAAACATACTGGTTTACGAGTATATGTGTGTGTTAGTGGTAAATTTGAAAATCTTCACTAATGCTTTCTTATTGTTTTAAATCTTAAAGACACAAAACTAAAACCTAAAAGCATCAAATACATTTATAAATTCAAGAACAATTTAGAAACAAAAACTTGTTCATTACCATCCTTGTTCATAAAATTGAAAGAAAATCAAAACGCCGCAATTAGCCATCAAGACGTCGACATAAATTAACAATCGCACCAATTACTTGAATCACAGATGAATAGAGAACAAGCGAGGCTGATTGTTCATTGGATTGTACAAGTAAATAATGTATTGGAGCTAGTGTCTTTCGAATATCTTATCAGTGTCTGAATAGGGGATTTGCAAAGCTCAAGAGGACTCATTTAACATGTAGCGTGCAGTGGTTTCATTTGTGCCTCCGTAACAATTGTTGGACGGCACTCCGGGACGTGTTCCAAAATAGCGAGGCGGCTAATAAATGATTAAAGAACACGATGGTAGATATCTAGTTAGACTGTTCTATTTATTTTGTTAGCCGTTGTAATCCCTTTCGCATTTGTTCGGACATGTTCAGTCTCTAATTATACGCCTAATGGACGTAGAAGTGTCCATGCATACATACTGTGTTTTCAGTTCACATGGATTATAAGTTGTTACAAATAAATATTTATCTTAATTACTATTTTGTTAGGGTATAAAGACTAAGTAATAAAGAACCTGCCTATCCCACCAGCCTCGTGACGTTATCCCATGATGGGACAACTGATAATGTTTAATCCCAGTAGATCCATGGGACTAGTGACGCCAATCTATCTATATATATATGAGATTCCCACGTATACTCGTATAGTCACTCATCACGATATCTCTGGAACCATTAGAGCTAAAGACTTGAAATTTGATAGGAATATTCTTTTCACCGAGTAGAGGTCAGCTAAGAACGGATTTTAAGAAATTAAAAAAAAAACATTTTTAAATAATGTAAATAGCAAAACAACGTTTGCAGGGTCAGCTAGTATTTTAATATAATGTAGTAAATGCCATTTAAGTGTAGTTGATTAAGTAGTCTGCTAAAACTCGGGACTCGGCGGCCTAAAACTCGGGATTGGCTCAACTGTGTTTCTTTTTTTCAGGCATCATTTTTTTTCTTGAATAAACTTTAAACTCCACAATTTGACATAGGTTTGATCACTATCACATATGGACCAAGTAAGTATGTGAATTTTGCAATCAAAAATTACTTTCCTCTCTCCTGGGATCATACGGAATCCAGGCAAACAAGGCGCTTATTCTTTACTAACCTAAATACCATCATTCCTGATGGTTTTCATCAATACAACAGATACCCCTTTTTTTTTTTTTTTTTTCCCCCTCAAAAATCCCCTCGGATACCACCTGTCGGTGGCATGTCGGACTTGAACCGACAAAAACCGCACCGCAGTCTCGGGTATTAATAGCCGGGGAACCAGGTATACCCTAGAAAGGAAGTCCCTGGTACCCCGACATACCTCGGGTCATCTACAGACGAGTAGACGACCCCCCCCCCCGTGTGGGAACCCCATGTTCCCTGTGCTCCCTGATGGCCTCACCTGTCACCCCCAGGCCTGCGCTTATGGAGGACGGAGGTCGTTCTGCGACCTCCGGAGCCTGAGTCGCCTGCGGTACCTGGCCCGTTCCCGGGCCTGGCGGGCCGGGAGAGTCCTAAACCTCTCCCGGTGCCGCTCCGCCGTCTCCTTCGCGAGCATAACTTGCTCGCAGAAGGAGACGACAGAGTTCCACGCACTCTCGCTCCGCACGATAGCCGCAATCAGGCTATCGAGCGAGAGAACTCCCACTCCGATGGTCGCCACAAGGTCTCGCCTCTGCTCAACCCACGCCGGGCACTCTGCCAGCGTGTGGAGAGCCGTGTCCACGGTCTGGCCATCGCAGTGGTGGCACTCAGGCGTTGGCTCTTTGCGGATCAGACACAGGTGATCCCCGAAACATCCCTTCCCAGTGATCACCTGCGTCAATCGGTATGAGAGGGTCCCGTGACGCCTCTCGAGCCAATCCTCCATAACGGGTCTTACCGCCGCGAGCAACAGATACCCTGGAAATTTTGCGGCCGCCTCTCGGTACATTACTAAGCGATATAGATGGGACAAAATCACAGTAAACTGTGAATGAATGGTGATTTATCATTCGATGTCGGCGTACGTAGGTTAGGGTTATTACTTACTTACGCGTTGTTCCCAATAAGCTGGTTTCAGACGATGCATAAAGATTCGCCTATTTAACAGTAACTCTAGTAACTTTTTTATTATATATAGCTACCATTCCCTACATAATAATTAAACAATACTAGATTTACTGTTAAATAGTGTCTAACCTAACTACCTGGCAACCTTAACCTACGAACGCAAAAATCGAATGATAAATTACAGTTCTGTGATTTTGTCCCATGTCTACTAAGCCCGGTTTCTCATATGATGTTTCTGATATGGTTTTTGTTTTTTCAATGAGACATTCGAACCAGACAATTACCTACTAATTCTAAACAAACAGTCTTAGCAGTTTTGATCCAAATTATCGGGGTTCTGATTACTCATGTATTTTGTTGTATAGATTAAAACAATTATTTTAATATAAAAGGAATAAGTTGTACATACATACGAGTACGTGTATACGTGTCTGTATATCATGCACTTTGTTCCTGTGTCACATTTTTCGGCTGATGTTCGATTTTCATTAATAAGCAATAGGGACTTACTAAATAATTTAAGTAAAGATTTAAAAAAAATACTAACTAAACTTTTTAGCAAATCACTGGTATTACCCGTGATGTAGTTAGCAACCCATTTATCAATGTATAGGTATATTATCTGTCAAACGTATAACTGATTTTGGTCATCTTCAAATATTACGAAGACGATGACAACATTTACTCGGTGGCATGGCAATAAATTTTGATTGGCATGTCAATTATAGATCGTTTTTTTATGTTTCTACCTATTAAGGTAATGACAAAGAATTTAATTCGATCTCGAACGTCTGTACATTTGTTAAGCAGATACCTGTGGTGTTTCTATTCATGAATGGTAAATATTTTCAGATCCATCATATTTCGTTCCAACAAAAATAAATAAAGGTGGGTGTTAGTGAATAGAGAGATGAGCGAATCGCGTGGGTAGTGACTCAAAAATAAAACAATATCGCAACAAATTTTTATTAACAGTGGTACATAAATAATTACAATAAAATATACACAAAGAAAATATATTCAGATTATATAAAGCTTAATTACCTACCTGACAAATTTTATAATAAACACTCAGTAATAATTTCTAATAACTGTAAATTTTTCAAAAATTGTTCGGACATTGTATTGTGTAGTGGTCCGTAGTCATTATCTTCCTTTATATTTAGAGCCGGCTAGGGCCTGCAAAGTGAAGAACTGTTTTAGTGCGCTGAAAATCTTCGCGTAGTACTTGGCAGAGGTGACAGACGTATCAGATTTAAATTTCCTGCATCTTATTTTTCTGCCGCCTGAAATGCGCAACACTACATTGACAAAAAAAACTGTAAAAAAAAACTGTAAAGTAAACAGTTGCGTTGTGGATGCGATATTTACATGTTCTTACCATCTCGTATCGCATCTCTTCGCTGATGCGCTCGCACAGGTCTGTCGGTATGTCCGCCTCTGTGCACTCTTGTAACACGTACTTCAATTGTGATGTCCTGCGAGTGAAATACCTACATTAGCATCGGATAAATGACATTAAATGTATTCGATGTTGTTGCATAATTGCCTGATTAGCTGTGTCTTGAATTGTATCCCCAGGTTAGTTTGGTTTGCTTTGTGCCTGTTAAATCATTATTGAAAGTACTACAAAATTTTATAATGACTATACCGCAGGCAAATATGATAGAACGACGAATAATAATAGTGGTAGCACATAGTGCCTAGGTAATTTACTAGTATTGTTGTACCTTGGAATACTTATAACTCATACATAATTATGTGTAAAAGTGTAAATAATCTATATTTTTTGACATGCAAATTAATCTTACAGCGACTCATATGTACATATATATGTATATCCGAATAACAAATGTGCACACACTTATTCTGAAAACTAGCTTCGTTGACGTCAGAGTATAGGCACCAAAATAATATATTATCGAAACGATACTCCTGGGAACGCTTAACTACAGCGCCTTGGGTCACTTTTAGATTTGTAGTTCAGAACGTATGCGCAAACGTTACATTCTAAAGTTTTACCTTTTTTATATTTTAGAAGGCTGTCTTCACAATAAACTTAGAATGTATATATAGTACTCGTAATAATAGTAGTGTACAAAAACAATAGTGTATATGCAAACCCTATAAAATTAATAATTAGTTGAAGAAGCATTCTTAAATCTATTACTTTAAGGAGTAATATTTTATTAAGTTCTTACTGTATGTAAATAAGCATGTAGGCGCTAGTGGCACGACGCGCGAGGTAAGGCGCATCCTCTTTGCCTCCGAAGTTGTACTCTATCGCTTCTTGTTTGCTACACCGTGACACTACGTCGTCATCAAATTTGCACCACTGGAATAATATTGTAAAAACATTAACCCGTTTATATTAACCCCAATTAGTATACTTTTTGACGATAATTTAAGGTTAATCGATAGAGAAAAAAAAACAGGTAACGAAACCTAGACATACATATATTTTTTTTACACATTATTTATTATTATATTACAGTAAGAACGTTTTGTTTCGAACTGTGTCAGTTTGAATCTGGAATATTTTAACTATTAAACCGATACATCCAGGGAAAATTTCATAACCTCTTTATTAGTTATTGACATGCGAATTTATGTTAAAATTTGTATTTGAAAAGCGTTACAGATATCATGTGCTGAACAAATAGTTTAGATAGAGTTTGCAATGTTTTTAATTTTGTGCAATGCTTTTGACATTTTAGTTTTGTTAATTTCCTAACTGTTGAATTTAATTTTTGTATCATTCTACATATTGCGCTAAACATATTTTTTTAAAGCAGTAGTAAAATAAAAAAAGAAAATAGTTTGAAAATCGTAGGAATCAGTTAACCAATCTGTGAATTTTTTTAATACGCGAAATCAGGGATGGAAAGTTTGTTATTCTCGGGGGATAAAAAAATTACTTTTTTTTGTGGAGTCGATGACGAGCCGATGCTGAGTTTTCTACTTTGATTTAAATTGAGATTTTGTCTTTTTAGAAAGTTATTTAGTTTGTAGGTTATTTTTGCTATAATATATGCTTTGCAAACTGTTATATTTGCTATAATATTGTAAAAAATTTAAAGCTACAATTTTGCAGGTTTCGCATAGCTTCAAAATGAATATGTGGGATAAAATACAACACAACATCTATATGTTTACAGGGATTAAGTGACTAGGAGATCTCCTGGATTGTCTTCACCTTTTATCTTACCTTTCCATCGCCTCTGGGGTTAATGAATACAACATAGTGCCCTCCGTGGTTGTCTCCCGAGTGAACAAGGACGGCGTGTAACGTGTAATGGGCCGGTATCGACGGTATCTCTTGTAAATACTGGTCGAGATTTATTTCTTCATAAAACTCGAACCTACGACAAATAAATTACATAGTTAAATAAACACAGGTAAGTATCCTTACGACTAGTTTTTTTCTGAGATGAGTGTCTATCTCCTACCTTTTATTATAAGACAAGACTTGAATAATATAATGGTACAGTTAAAAAAATTTAACCTTTATTAATTTACTGAGTTGAGGGAAAGGCTAATTTTAAGTAAGTATTTCAACTACTCTTTCAGTGTGCTAAATATCTTTCGACAGAACTTAGGTGAAGGTCAATGATTTTTAGTGTAGAGTTTTGTTACAACGGGATTAATACCATTATTTCAACACAGGACAAAATGGTATTATTGGTAGACATCTTAAATTGCCAAATTTAACATTTTACCATCCCTTTATATTTAAAAACGACAGCACCTGTGGCACCAATATCGGCTAATATTGAAAGATAAAATTATTTTGGCGGCTGAAATTTGCATAATAATCTCATACAGCAATGTTCACGGTTCCACCCAGACTGTACCTACCGTTAATGTTACTGTTGCGTTAAGACAAATTTAGTTTTAAACACATTTAGAGAAAACATTTTGATCTTTGGCACGATTCAAAATGTTTAGTGCTGACAGTTAAAACACGATTATTTTTCAACGATGTCACAATTTTGGCAAGCGTCTAGGGATAATCCTTGTAGGTTAGGTTGGAGTGGTACAAAGGACATATGCTGAAGGATATATACATATATATATATTTTATTATACGAAGGTAATTGCAGTTCAACAGTTATTTTCGTTGTCAGATACTAGTGTCTACAGCAGGAACAACAGTATAACAGATCATCAGGGTCTTCTTGGATCAAACAGAGCGCATACTCATTATTTTTTGTGAAATGTAATTAAACGTATTCACTTACTAACTCCTGAAGCCTAATGTCAAGTGTATGTATTTTGTGACTATGTGAATGTATACGTATTCGTACAGTGCATCCAATCAGACAGGTTTCATAGGTGTTCTTTAATTATGGCACCAAGGATATGATTAATACATTTTTAAACGATATCATTATTAGAGTTAGTTAATAAGGTTATAAAATATTGTATTATAACTCTAATCGAATCCGAAAACATCGAATCTAGTCTGTGAATGTATTACATATAGCAACGTCGCAAACAAAACTCATGTAATCGAGACAAGTATTTTATTCTGTTTCAGTGTACGATAACCTTTGTAACCAGGACGTCAAAGTTACCTTCAGTTGTGTTGACAAACTGTACTGTACAGTTTCTGGTACATTTCAACCGCAGGATGCAAGCGGAGTAAAATAAAATATAAGTCAAAATATAATCACTGTTCGCTCAAGACCAAAATTCATGAAAGCAATACGTGCTTTGTTTATACAACCTGATATTGGAATGGTTATATGATAGCTAGAAACTTTCGTGAGGTAGAGATTAAAGTTTAAACTACATCATAGTTCGTAAACTAAGAGTTGGTGACTTAGGACACATATTATTCGGATATTCTATTTATACCCATAAATATTTTATACTATTTACTTGTCATTAAACTTGATGGAAGCATCACTCTGTGGATCATATTGAAACCTCATTAGATGCAGATGTAACACTGGTGGGAATACGTCGAACCGTACTCCTTTCTCTGCTTCTTGTAGCCCGTGTTCGCCAGCGTCGTATTTGTTCTCGCCTTCCAAAAGCTCCGTGCTGATGTAGTCTTTAAAAGACTCATAGACTGAAAGGAAATATTTTGAAATGATGATTGGGTATTGCAGCAATGATTAGAATTGCAGATCAGACAGGTTACATAGATGGTCTTTAACTACAGCATCAAGGATATGATAAAAACATTCTTAAACAATATCATTGTAAGAGTCAGTCAATAAGATTATAAAAGATTGAACTAACTATTCTGAATCTAGTTGTTGAATTATTGTATTTATTTTACACATCAAATCATCTAAATTTATTTACACGTGTATAACTCATTTGAATATAGAAGAAGTAATAGCTAAAGAAATTTATAAATCCCTCAAAATCTCGAGAAATATAAATTTGTATTTCTAATATATTTCTACGTTTACTCGTATGTATTGGATATTGGAAACCATGTCGGGACAAAAAACCACAGGCATATTAAAAGAGGAAACTGTTATCACTTGCTGACATGAAGAAAATCCATTGAATACGACTGCAAGATGAACCTTTAGATATTATAAAGTTGCATCACAGGACCGGTTGTTGTGCCGAACCTTGGGGGAGGCCAATGTCCAGCAGTGGACGTCTTACGGCAGAGATGACAAAAAGTAAAGGAAGTCTAGTGTACAGACAAGAGAATATGGTTCTTAACTGAGTTGACTTTGATAATTTATTCAACTTTTCTAACTATCCTATCGAGAAAAGATTTTTTTCCATTCTTCCCACCCGGGGTGGATAAGTGGAAATCATTCATACCATATAGCTATCCCATCTGAGGAAAAAGGTTTTTTTCCACTCTTTCTTATTCCACTTTTTCCCGAACACAAACATTAATTTATTTAAATACACATTTATTGTTCAATTAGATAGGAAAGATATGGACTAACATCTAATCATGGACACAATCAAGACGGATCCATAACAAACAATTTAAATATCAATAAGCAATAGATAGAAAGAGCGTGTATAACATGTGATATTATTATACAAAATGTACAGATGCAGTTAGATAGCATATTTGCTTAAGACAGTTACAGAAAAACATTTTCACGTGTTAATATTACGAGTATAGATGTAGAATATTTACCAATGTGGATAACTGAGCAACATAATAATAATTTTCTCCTTATCCTTATTTTCAACATCAACGATCAACGGTTCTAAGGATAGTATAGTTCAAATTCATTTCAAATATCGGATTAAGGCATTTTGACTAGAGTAAAGCCTTTCAAAGAAGACTCGAACGTCCCCTGTGTTTTAATATACATGAAAATTTTGGATCAAAGCACCTTGTTTCGAAGGGCAATAAAATTAATGATTTATTAGCATCTGTTATGAGAAGCGAGCACTCGAGTTACTTAGGCATCAATAATTAATTGACTCGAGATATTGAAAGCCGCTTAAGACTAAATGGTCAACGAATAGTCGGGAAATACTAGTCTTAAATGAACTTTGTCAATGACATCTTTGTGAAATTTGGTTGTATTGGACGAATTTGTAATTGTAGATTAAATGTCAGAAAAGATAGAACTGAGCTTAGAGTGCACTAGTATTTAATGTAAGACCTCCCTTTGAATGGTTGAGAGTGGCTTTAATGAAAATGTATTAAGAATACGTATTGTTAAAAGAGGTACACTGGTAATAGAAGTCAATTAGGGACGTTTTTGAAAAAGAATACAACACTCATTTTACACAAGAACATTCAAGCGACAACGCTAGTGAGTTCTAGTCTTGAGTGAGGAAGATGGGTGTAAGTTTAAGTAGGTAATCGTTCACTATTTTAATTCATACTTTTTGTCGATATTACCAAATTTTCACACCTCAATGTTTAGAAAAAGTTACCTGATGTTGACATGCTGTGTGATCTGATTGCCTGCAATATCAGATATATTTTTAGTTGGTCTCGAGTTGCAGACCATGTAAATTTTGATCCGGAAGGAGTGCCAGTGAATATAACAAGTCTTTAAAGTAACATTAAGGTGTGAAGCTAAATAATCTCATTAATAATGTTAGAAGATTAATAAGAAGAGCAGTACTAACATACGAGTTACGTTACTTGATGTTGCAATTGTTAATAAAAAGATATTATTAACAATATTTTATTTATTTTTCTTCAATATTAAGCTACAACTTACTATTATTTTTCCCCTTCACGCTGAGCTGTATATCGTAGAAAGTTTCCACACGCGTGCTTGTACAGTTTACATTTTTGCACTTTATGAATGACGTCATCTTTCCTTCAAACAACTTTGGGACAGTACCTTCCACCACTGTTCCTTTCATTTTGTTTTCCAACTTATCTAGAAGTACCTAGCCAAAAAGACTGATAAGATGAAAAAGTTAAATATTACAAATTAAATGAACGTGTTCTATATATGTGTACATTGCACCATTTAAAAAAAAAACCATAATATCAGGTTCGCATGGTTTAACGTATTATGTATGATTATAACGTATTTGATTAAATATATACATTAAGTTGCAAAAACGTAGATACCCTTAAGAATTCTTGTACATCATGTTGCATAAATGAGTCAAGAGTTTCCCAGCCAAAACTTTTTGTTAGTTTCTTGGTGGCGACAGGCTTATCGGCAAATTGTAAGTCGTAAAACACACGCTGCAGGGCGAAGGCGACAGATCGTGAACTGTCGTCACCGACAGTCGGTATCTTATACACAGCTTTACGTAAGACGTTTGTGAAGAAGAGTGTTTGTAGTAATGAGTTCATATAGCATGTGGCTCCCTGGTTCTTGAGACCTGGAATTAAATCTTTTGTTTGTTCTGCTAAATGATCAAAATTTAACAATATGACTTGGCCATGACGACACGAAAAGATTTTCCATTCGTGTTTCATGGACATGCTAAGTTGCATAGTCTCTTTATAAATTTAGTTAAATAAACGTTATAAAAATAAAAGTGTGAAACCTTATCGAACCCCTATGAACATTTTGCAAAAATACCGCCAAAGCTAATGTAATTAGGCAACAAATTTTGCAGTAAATTATGACACTTTTTGTTAATAGTCTATAACTGATAAACAAAACACTTCAGGAAACGACTGCGTACTGACTGACTGATGGCATAGGGGTTTAAGCAGTCACCTCACCGTTTCCCTTTATGTATAGTGTTGTGTGTTCGATCTCCACACGGGACAACACTTCGTGCGATTGCCTTTTTCTTTTGTTTTGTCTTAAAATTTTAACATAGCAAGGAAGAATTATTAAGAATTGGCGGTAGAGGATCGCCCGAATATGAAATGAATTTTTTTGCAGTACTAAAAGCGCCAACCCCAAATAAAGTAGCAAATGGCTAAATAATGCATCAGCTGAGAGATTTAGTAGAAAAGATGATTTGAGTGTGGCCTTGTGATCTTCCATGTCCGTGAGGCTAAACTCTAGATCTTATGTTAATTTATTTTACCTACAAATCCTGTATGTTTCTTCGAATCCCATGACACACCATGAGGGGCTTCAGCTATAACGTGGGCTTCTATAGTTATTGCATCGTCCTTAACAAAACCGTTTTCAAGATCCATCAAATCATCCCAGGATATGAAATGTGCGAATCCCCAATCATCTTCTTTGCTGTTAAAATAAAAAATTGAGTTTTTATCTGTGTGGCTAACTATGCGGAATACTGTTACATTCATTGAGAAATTATGTGTGGGGCTGTATTCTTAGTATATGCCTCGTGCGTCACATCAGCTAAAGTAGGGAAATGGAAAATTGCTGACAAGTATTTAAATCAAAGAGAAGCAATTCTAATTATAAAAAAATAATTAAAAAGGCATTTAAATGCTGCTTTTAAGCCTTTTACATATTATTCTCGTGGAAAGTTAATGCCTTATTTGCTATTTAAATTGACAATATAAGGTTACAAACTTTATGGTTATGGGTAGCGTATGTCGCCGTAGACTGAAGGATATAAAAAGGCATTTTGGCGACAAAAGACATTTTGTTGTAGTCTTAAAATTACGACATGTGGACTAACAAACGTTTTAATCATGAGAACCGACAAGGCATCACCACGAATCAGGACCTGAAATGCCCGAGTAAACCATTGTATTACTAAGTACATATACGATATAGTATACAGTACTTAATTTGTAAATAGGTTGTAATTAATTGTAGCATAGTATATTTTTTTCAATAAATTTTTTCTAACGTTGTTTCACGACGAACTAATGAATAAGCAAGGTAATTTTTAATTTATTCGTTAGAATAAACTTCATTTTATAAAAAATTACCTTGCTAATTAGAAATCAAGGTTTTTAACATTATTTGTGAATGGGTAAATACCAGTGATACATATGATGCAGTTTTCTGCATAGATGGCTGCCATCAGGTTTGTGAGACATCAGTTTTAATTCTCCAAGCCCATAGCATGACCATCCAGGGGAATCACACTCTCCGTTGCATTGGAGAAAGACTCCTAAAGCTTTCTGCTGCTGACGGTCTGGAGTCGTAGTATTTCTGAGGAGTATTAATATCTTCCACGGAAGACATCTCACGTAGCAAGCTGGTGACAGCACTTGTTCTTTCAGCTGACTTATATTCTGCACTGTAAAACGGAACGTCGCTTCAGGTCGAGCGATGTCATCATCCTCTTGTGTTACGTCCTGGTATACAAAAATAAACAATGTACACACACATTATTAAGATCAAAATATCTTTGTTAAAATTAGGTATGAGATAATGCTGTGAATATTATAAACAGGGCATTGCGGTCTATCTACATTTTTTATTATTTGTCTTTTTTATAAGATCGAATAACTAAACAATAGTATAAGAGGTTTAATACTTGTGTGATACAAGTCATTGGATACAAGTAGGTGTTGTTTTCGTCTTTAGCGAGTCTTTTGTGGGCGAAAGTGGTAATTTATAAGATGGGTTGGCTAACCGGGGCTGCAGCTTTTGTTGCAACAGTTGCGGTATCCGCGCTGCTAGTTTCAATCATTGTTCAGCAGCAAATGTAAGGCTACAAAAAACAGAAACATTTTGAACTATGTACTTTTCACTCGTCATATTATTTCCTTTAGATCTCTATTTAATAAAAGTTAATAGGACAATCGTTATTACCTTATTTTAAAATGTTATACATAATGGTTGTTATCAAAATATAAAAAACTAATTTTGTAATTTTTTTAGGCCGATGACAGACGTCACCCTATGATTTTTAAACGTCATTTTTGACTATTCTAAATTTAAACGAATTAATTAAAGAAACGTAAAACTATTTAAAACGAGGTTGATGTACACTATAGCCAATTGAAAGGTTTGTTGTTCATAGCCAAATAGAAGCTTATTATATTATTATTATGCTACAACTTCAGAGTTGTAGTTCGTACATGTACATTTCCGTTTTTTTTTATTTCTTTATCTATTTAAGGGCAGAAAGTAAATAATAGGTCTTTACCTATGAAATTGCCGTTTTGTATGCAATAAGTGAAAGTACTTATTTTTTCAAACTTTTTTATTTCTGTTATTCGAAGTAATCTCCCATGCAATCGACGCATCTTTGCCAACGCATTGGCAGTTTATTGATGCCCTTCTTGTAAAACTCAGCTGGAAGGGAGGCAACAAACTCTTCAAAGGCATTTTGTACTGCCTCTCGGGAATTGAGTTTTTTACCCACTAAAAAATTGTCTAAATTTTGGAAAAAGTAATAGTCGGTAGGTGCAAGGTCTTTGGAAATTTGGAAATGTTGTCAGTGTTATAGAAATGGAATCTGAAATTTGATTGGTTGAAATTGAAATTGGTTCTGAAAATTCATCTGTAGTTACTCTTATAACTACAGATGAATTTTCAGATCCAAATGTTGTAAACTTTTTGCAAACCGTTGACTTCGGCAAAAAGTGTCCTTTTTTTTCTAGCGGTTGGGAGGGGATTTTATTTTTTGAAAAACGTTATAATTTTTGCACCATAGACCCCTCACGCCTTGATTATCTTGGAGTATGTTATTTATACTAATAATATTTAATCCTAAATTTATATTTTACCGCAACATAGTTGTGGTAGATTAATTAAAAATTTTGTTCGTGAAAATGGTTATCGTATTATGTATGAAAATTTAAAATGCATGTTAATAATGCAATGCAATTTTACGAGATATTTTGAAAATGTCTAATGTATAAGTGACTGTTACTGAAACTGATCTGTTACTGATAATACCAGATCAGATTATAATCATACTATAATTTGTATTTGCTGAGGAAGCATCATCTTGAAGCTCAATGTGGGTCGAGATAAAAACAGTTCTAAAGAGAAGATTCAATATATCAGAACATGCTCGAACCGGGTATCCTCTAAGAGCATGCTCCTAGGGTGCGCCATACAAGGAACCCTTAGTTTTACCAAATAATAGTGGAAATATCTCCTACATATCTGATACCTCAAATAATTAGCTTTAAAGTATATCGTAACTTACATTTTGGACATTTCTTTAGATCTTTCGTGATGTACTCGTATTCCACTACATTTTTATTTTTTTCGGATACAGTAGTATTATTGTTATTGAATAAAAGGTGACCAGATTTTTTTGGTGCTTAATTTTATAGGTTTTGAAGGGCGTCTTAAGATGGCGGCGGTTTTATAACATTAAACTTGACTAGATACCCACGGTATATTAGAAATTAATTAAACCCACGATTCATCTTGAGGTAACAACGTTCTTGGTTCGTTTGGAGATTGACAGAGTCGTTTAATTAAAATAGCTAATGGAATTTCAAAAAGCTATGTTACCAATAAATAACACAGAATCATTTTCATAAACTGATAACACAAACACAACACACTTAATGACAATAACTTTTTAACAATACAATGTTATGAAGTAAATTCTTATGTATTTATTCTTATACTCGTGTGATTTAAATGTTTAAAAGCGAAACACTCTTAAGGTGCTAGTCAGTGCATATTCTACCTTGTCCGACTTGTATTTTTTAATTTAGTATAGAATTATTGTATGTTGTATTTTTGTGATATGTCTTATATTGCAATTTAATGTAACGATTTAAAGCAGGTAAAATTCGATTAAAAATACATCCTTATAAGAATAATTGACAAAGAGGTCTCAGAGAAATATATTTTGAATTGTACATTTATTTACGGCAAAATTCTACTGTTGTCGATGGTTACCATCGCGATAAATAAATAATAATGAAGACTGTTAATATTTACAAGCACTGAACTCTAATCCCAGCGGTAATTTAAAATAATATTTATGTTCTTATCTATTTATTGAGAAAGTGTTTAAAACAATATGTTGCGATCTACGTTAGCGGAGCAGTAACAATTAAAAAGCTTGTGAAACCGCTAAAACGGGCAGTAAATAATATAAAAGCAAATATAATTCAGAAAATAGCTATTATAAATTTTATATGAATTTAATATTAAATACAAGGAAAAAAACCATTGATGTCAAAGACCACGAATTTGATTTCCCCATATTTGGCTTAAGATTCTAATACGAGTATGTTAGGATATTAGAAGTGCTTTTTACGCCCCTTCTGAGTTTTATTAGCCATTACTTTACTACGTATCAAATTATTTTTCTAAAAGTTCGTGTTATTTACGATTATCGTAAATGGAGCCGCACGAAAAGTTTTTAACGATATAATAAAATAGCCTATAAATCTAATGTAATTTTATTTACTACTAACCTGAAATCTTACGTTCCTTATTCTAAATAGAGGTCAAACATTTTATGTTTTTATTGTCAAAATAAACGGTGACCTGTGCCTAAAAAATATATCGTGTCTGTATTAACCCGAGTTTTTTGTTTCTGATGTACAAAGAAATGAGGGATTTTAAAGAAGTAATTTTTTATATAATTAATGAAAACAGTACAAAACATTGTCGTTTAGTCGTTCAAACTCAATAAATTTAAATTTAAATCAGAACTAAGTAACAAATGTTCAGACTTTTCTCACTGTATCTAAACGTGAAATATGGGTATCTAATCATCCATTAGAGTTGCGGCGATTAACTCCATTAGCGTTAATGGAAACAACCAATCCCTGACATTACGACTTATTGGAGAATTATCTGTATTAGACGCTTGATTATAATCCGATCATAACGAAGTCTGTGTGGAAAGTTAAGGGAAGTCAATAGAATACTTTCAATAGAAAAAAAATTAGCTTAAAGTCGAATTTTCGTTAAAATTTTATTAGTAATATTAAATATTGTTTAAGAACGCCTTAGGTAGTGATTTCTAGTATCAGGGAAAAATACTGAGGTACTTATTCGAAATGTATTGTGTTGTGTTTAGCAATATTTTTCTAACCAGTATATGTTTTTATTTGTTTTAAATTTTGTAACAATATGTTTTGTATAGACAACGATTTATCGGTAAAATTGCGAAGACCTATTTTGTTGATTACATTTTTTTTGTTTTAGTAGCCATTTATAAAAAAATATTCTTCTTCTCAGCCGAAAGAAGTCCACTGATGGACATAGGCCTCCCCCAAATTTTGCATAAACAACCGGTCCTATGCTGCTTTAATTGTTGAACTATATCCGACACAGCCTCCCCTTATACCTCTCCATACCTCCACCTCCACCATTTCAGATTTTGGAGTATATCGTTCCCAAGACAGCGTTGTACGTATAGTACGTATGTGTCTTTTATGTGTAAAAAATATAAACGGTTATATTTACACATATGAAAATAGTATATGGCTTTTATGCTAAACTAGTAAATCTTTGTCAGGTACATACAACCTATATTTTAAAACTTTCATTATTTCATTTTGAAATATTAACATAGAATCATAATAATATCTTAATATGTTATCATATTAAAACAAAAGATATAATAAAATAATTAATGGTCTGCCGGTCAATATAACTGAACGCAATAATGGTTTCTGATAAATGGTCTAGAGTTCGGGAAATTGCTTCGGCGGTATCTCCCCGCTCCCGGGATTGACGTCTACCCTCGAACGGAGCAAAAAATCTTATCCCATCGGATTCCAATCAAACTCGCTCATTTATCGCAATTGGCTGATGGAACAAGAATTCCGCTGAAATACGAAGTAATTTCACCTATTTTGTTGGTGATTTTTTCGTTTCCGGACATTTTTTATCGGAGCGTATCTGTTTGGTAGTTTCAATTTATTACGAACAAATAAAATGTCATAACTAATAGTTACATTTCTCACAAAATATATGTAGGCAATTCTTAGAAACTTTAGGCATGTAATTCATTGGGTTTATAATATGAATTTTTCTATTTGGGCTAAAGTAGACTTTTTTATATCTGTAATCTATTATTCTGCCTATGTGACTTTTTATTGTGCAAACGAAGTATGTGGTTTGGTTACGGTTTCGAGCTTTTAGTGGGGCCATGTAGGATTTAATCGGCTATGTTAGTGTAGTGTGTCAGTTTGGAGTAATTAATCATTCTATTATTATGAGGACTATACTACAGGACATCTTAAATCCAATATTTATAGACCCGCTCCGATCCTGTCGGCCGCTGCCACCCGGGACCGATGTACGGCTCGATGGTTGTTGGGACCCCGAATTTTAAACCTCTATTATTTTCTAAAATATTCATTTCAATGATATGCTGTAACGATCAGTTTTAATCTACATAAAAGGCATAACGAACCTAACGTATTTGATTGGATAAGGAATAATAACATATTGTTTAAATGTAGCTGTAGCTGTGTAGCTTCGTAAATAATCCATTATTTCTTGACATATTTAAAAGATGAAAATGGTTACTGTGGGTTATCTTTAGGAGATAGACATATACCATTGTGGACTGTTGTGTAGATTTTTTCCAGATATACAATTCTGTAATACATTATTTTGGTCTATCTCGCAAGGTTTAGCCAGCGTTTGTAATATAATGCAACAAAACGTGTTTTTTTACGACAAATATTTGAAATGCTCAGATTTTCTCTACTATAATATGCATGTATTATCCGTATAAATCTTCCTCTTGAA